ATCCAGTAGTTGTTTATCTCTCTTTTTCTCAGCTTCTTTATTTTCCATCATTTCATCTTCTATATTACTGATTCTCTCTTCTGCCTCATTTATTCTAGCAGTTAGAGCCTCCATTTTTGATTACGCCTCATTAATAGCCATTTTGATTTTGACTTGGTTAGACTTTAGTTCTTTTATTTCTCCTAAAGGGTTTCTCTGATATCTACCATGCTTTTTTGAAGCCCTGCTAGTATCTTTATAATTGTCGTTCTTAACTCTAGTTCCAACATCTTACTAATGTCTGTATTGATTAGGTCCCTGGCAGTCGGTACTGCCTCTTGATCTTTTATTGAGGTGATTTTTTTCCATCTTGTCATTTTGTCCAGAGGAGAATAGATGAATGAGAGAACAAAATGCTAATAGGTTAACAACAACCCCAGAAAAATATACACGAAACAAATCAGAAGAGACCCACTACCGGGGGGAAAAGAAAGGGAAAGAAAGAAAAAAAAAACCGATATGATGAAATATGATCAGGCGGTGAATAGATTAGTGCCACAAACTAGATTTTGGGCATATTTTTGTCTGTTAAAAGAAACTACCTCCCAAAATTTTAAAGAAAGAAAAACTTATATATGTACAAAAATAAGGGTAAATATGATGAAGGGACAGAATCTAAATGTAAAGATGAAAATTATAAAAGATTTTATAAAAGGAATTGATAAGATAAGAAGTTGGTTTAAAAAAGCAAGAAGAGAAATTAAAAAAAAAAAAGAAAGGGAGAGAGTGTGATCAGGCAGGAGAGTAGAACAAAACCATACACTAAAGATTTAGGGTATATTTTGGTCTTTTAGAAGAAAGTGTATCCCAAAATTTTAAAGAGAGAACAACTTAGATATATACACAAAAAATAATGTTAAGTACAATGAAGGGATAGAATATGACTCTAAAAATGAAAAAAAAAATGTTTTTTAAAAAAGGGATTGATAAGATGTTGGTTGAAAAAGGGAAAAAAATTCAAAAAAAGAAAAAGAAAAAAAATTCAAAAAAAAACCTTTGAAAGACTAAAGAATCAGGGGGGAAAAAGCCATGAATTCTATGTGCAGTATTCCCCTAGTGTTGGAGTTTTGCCCTTCTCATTGATAGGTAAACTTGGTCTTGGCTGGCTGTTCTTGCTGATCTTCTGGCGGCAGGGGGGGGTGCCTGTTGCCCTGGTTCCCAAATGTCTTTGCCGGAGGCGAAATTGCCCTGCTCTTGCCGGTCTGGGCTAAGTAATCTGCTGGGGTTTGCTCTGGGGAGCTTTTGTTCCCTGCAAGCTTTCAATCCAGCTTTGGAGGACAAGAGTGAAAATGGCGGCTTCCCAATCCCTGCCCCTGAGGAGCTGAGAACTCGGGGCCCCACTCCTCAGTGCACCCCTAGAGAAAAGCAGTCAATCACTTCTATCTCCCTGGTCTCCAGCTGCACTCCGTGCTTACCTGGCCTGTGACCGAGCATTTCTATCTCTGGCACCCAGCCCCATGGGTGTGTCCAAACCCAGCAGATCCCTGTGGTGTGCTTCCACGCCGGTCCTCCCAGGAGAGGAAGGGGAGTCTCCCCAGATCTGCCATTTGTTGGGTCCCTGCTGGAAGAGCAGTGGCCCGACTGCCGTGGATCACGGTTTATGGCAACCCCAGCTGAGAGCCCACTCCTCAGCTCCGTCTCTGCAGCGGGCTTCCTCGCCCCATACCTGGGAGCTCTGCCGCACTCAGGGTCCTGAGACCACACTCTCCCAGCGAAGGTTCCACCCCCCGCTTAGCCACTGGAGCGACGTTCCTCAGTGTAGTGGAGCCAACTCCCAAAAGTTCCGATTTTGTGCTCTGCTGCTCTGTCACTTGCCAGTAGCGGCTGACAGAGGCCCCCTCCCCCGCCATCTATCTTCCCAAATATCACCTTGGATTCACCTCTCCGCGTGTCCTACCTTCCAGAAAGTGGTCGCTTTTCTGTTCAGAGAGTTGCTGCTATTCTTTTCTTTGATCTCCTGCTGAGTTCGTAGGTGTTCAGAATGGTTTGATCCCTATCTAGCTGAATTCCTGGAACCAGACGAAATTTAGGTCTCCTACTCTTCCGCCATCTTGCTCCTCCTCCCTCAGCCTCAGTTATTTTTGATAATGCTTCAGACAAAGTTCACGGTTGGCTCATTTTACCTATGCATCTTGCTAGAGTGAAATAACTTTACAGTTTCAGATAAAATAGAGCATACAATCTTAAAATGATATTCTTCATTATTTTATCATGATGCTTCTAACATTTTTTTAAAATCCTATTTGAAAGCTCATATCAAATTTCAGTTTTGTTTTCTTTTCCATAACAGGCACTTCATAATGTTGGTTGCATCCGTTTAATCTATGCCCTACTTTTTTTTGCTTTTGTCCCTTCAGCCTTTGCATGCAAGACTCCTTCCCTTTGACTATCCAGTCCTGCATCATGCCAAAAGACTGTGAAACCACTGAGTGGTCCTCCTGGAGCCCCTGCTCCAAGACGTGTCGTTCAGGAAGTCTCTCACCTGGATTTAGGAGCCGGAGCCGGAATGTGAAGCACATTGCTATTGGGGGTGGAAAGGAATGCCCTGAACTTCTCGAGAAAGAGGCCTGCATTGTTGAAGAACTCTTGCAGCCATGCCCCAGGTATGGCATATTCTTTGGCATGAGTATTCAGTGTTCTATATAACCTCGTTTTATGTGGGGTAGGGATGTTAACAATAATAACAGTAGCTGTGACTCATAACTGTTGAGTCTTTCCTCAGTTTCGAGATCTACACTAAGCAGTATAGCACAGTGGGTTAAAAGCATGGGCTGTGTTGATTACCTGGGCTATAATCCTATTTCTGTGACTTTCTGAATTTGCGAATTTCTGCAAGTAACTTAAGTCTAGTTTCTTAGTTTACTCATCTACTAGCAGTACTCACTTCATCCAGCTCTTGGCACATGATAAATGCTCAATAACCATTAGTTATTGTTACCTGACATGTCACACCTAAATTTTATGACAACCTAAGAAGCTATTCATAGCATCTTCATTTTGCAAATGAGGCCATTGATGCTTAGATTAAATAGTTTTTGAGGTTACATACGTAGTGGGTGGCAACACCTTGATTCGAATGCAGTTCTGTCTCTAAAGGTTCCTGCCACCCAATGGCATTGTTTCTAATAGAGTCCCTAAAGAGCCAGAGGATGTTGGGAAAAGGCTTGACCTAGATTAGTAGCTATATTTTAATATTTTTCTATTGGTTATATTTTGCCTGGCTGTATGTATAGCATAGTATGTATGTATGTATAGTGAAGGCCTCCAGTGTATTTTTCTCTGGATTGTTGGCTTATGGTAGTCCTGGTCTGATAATGACAGAAGTCATTTGGGGCTAGCTAGCTATTCAGAAGTATTTTGGGAATAAATTTGTGGTAATTTCTGCTGGACAGCTGCCCTGAACTCTATCCGTTAAATATGTAGCTATTTTAGATAGACCTTTTCTATAGTTTCTTATAATTTGTAAGATTTGAGAATTACTTCCCCAGTGAAAAGTAAAATGAGGCAAAAAAATAGCTTCTTGTAGAAATGAATCAAATGATTAATCACATTCAACAGGCATTGTTGATTGGCTTAGCTATTCCTTACACCTGAAATAATGTGTATATGGGGTGGGGTAGGGGTGGAAGAATAAAGAGGTAATTTCTTGTTGTCAGAGTCTTAGCCACTCACTTCTTCAACTTCACCATTGAAATCATTGTAGATTCAACTAATGATCGTTCATTTTTTATCAAGATAACCCCTTAGATTCATATCACTTCATACCTCAAAAGCAGAGGAGGTAGGTGTAGTTTATGATCCTTTACAGATTAGCTTTATCTCACAGAATTCTCCCTAGTGGTGTTGAGGATGTGTCCATTCTTTAAAAGCACTGATATTGAGGGAAAGAATGAGATTGTAAATGACATAAAGCCTGAGATTTTTGTTCCTTTTGAGTTTGGAGAGCCATGGATTCAAATTACATCACCATCATTTATTAATTGTGTGTTTTTGGGTGAGCTATACAACCTCTCTAAAGCATTTCCCTCTTCAATAAAATGTGTCTAATTATGCTGCCTGTGTTGAGGATTGACTACATACAGACTAGGTATGTAAAATGTCAGTCTCAGTGCTCAGCACATAGGAGGCACTACAAAGATGGCAGCCCTTGTTGTTGCTGTCTGCAGGTGTGTTCATTTCCTCCAGAAGGAGAATCCCTCCTTTCCTTGGAAGGCATACTATAGTAATTTAATGGGGGTAGGAAATTATTTCTTCTGGGTAATGTGAAATCTTTTTCTCTATGGAGGCATACTTTAGAAGGGTTCTCAATATTAGGCTTCCAGAAATAGAATCTGGGTTTAATGATGAACTTGACATTGATCCCGTTTTTCTTCATTCCTTTCATGGAATGGCTCGTGACCTCTTCCAGGTGTTGATTTATAGACATCACTCCATTTTTTCCTTCTCTTTTCTTTGTTAAAAATTATTACAATTCTCTTGGGAGTCAGAGAAGTTCCTCTCTGATGATCAGAAGAAGGTTGAATTGCATCTACATATGTTAAATAATGGATTATTACTTTTATTGAGTACCTACTGTTAGCCAATAACTATGTCAGAGATTTAACAAAGATTATTTAGAAGAACAATAAGTTTATCATCAAAATGGGGCACTTTTGTGGTAAAAGTAATGCAAATTGGTAGTGTTCAGATTTGAATTGAAGTCTGTTTGGCTTCAAAGTCAATATTCTTTCCATTACTTTCATGATAGTCATAGTAAAGACACATACCCAGATAAGGGTGTATATGTGCATAGTTGTGTGTTTATATGTATCATGTTTTCTAACAAAACAATATGGAAGGTTAATAATTCAAAATGTGCCCAAGATGAATTTCTTTATTGATCTTCATTTGATTGAACCTTAACATCTGAAAATAGGTCTGACAAATTTTGTTGGCAATGAACCTGGCCCTCTAGTTCTGCTGTTTGGAAATGTTATTGAATTTGACATTTTTAAAAACAGGCTCACATAGTGAATTTGTAGGAAATAGGAGTCCTTGAAAACTCACTGAATACCAACCAGGGTTTCCTTGGGAGAATGATGTGTTAGCGACTGATTCCAGGAGAATGCATAAATAACAACAGGATTAACATTCGCTGCATTCTTACTTGTCTGAAATCTGAGCTGTGGCCTCTACCATAGGAAAGCATAAAGACTGTGTACTAACTTTTATTTCTAGTGTGACATTGGTGATTAAAATTCATTGTGAACAAGGAAAATGGAAGCAAAAATCTATTAGGCAACAAAAATGCCCATTTCTCTTTTCCCAGAATTCAAGAGCAATTCCTATACATTAAGCAATCTAATTCACCATATTTTTTTTTAAAGATTTTATTTATTTATTTGAGAGAGAGAGAATGAGAGACAGAGAGCACGAGAGGGAAGAGGGTCAGAGGGAGAAGCAGACCCCCTGCTGAGCAGGGAGCCCGATGCGGGACTCGATCCTGGGACTCCAGGATCATGACCTGAGCCGAAGGCAGTCGCTTAACCAACTGAGCCACCCAGGCGCCCTCTAATTCACCATATTTCTCCCCAGCAGGAAAATGTACATTTCTGTGACTTTTCATAGTGTTTTTTTAAACTCTCAGAATGCAGTTTGGCTTTTACCCTTCTACCATCTGTGCTATAAGAGACGTGTTCATCCATTCAATAAATATACATTGACCGTGCCAAGCACTATGTTTAATGTTTGTGATACCTCAGAGAACAAAATAGTCAAAATCCTCTCCCCCTCATGGGGCTTAAATTTTAGTGAAGGTATACCAAATAAATGTAATAAATAAGCTATATACTGTATACATGAGCTGTGGGGAAAAACAACAACAACAACAAAACATTACAGTAGGGTTGCTGGGATGCTGTGATGTGGGGTCAGCTCAAGTTACAGACCTAAACAGGGTCATTACAGAAGCCTCATTTGAACAAGCAGAATGTGGTGGGGGAACTTGAAAGAAGTGAGGAAAGTAGCCTTTCAGATAACTAGGGGAAGAATATTCCAGGAAAAGGGAAGAGCTAGAAAATTACCCTAGGTCCTACATATTAATATTCCTCAAAAAGTTCTTTAGTTGCATAGCTTTGGGGCTACTCTTCTTACCAGCTGGACTCCACTGGTCAGCATTTTAGCTCTAAATACTATGAGGGCCAGTCCCTAAGGTGTGTTCCCATGAAAGGAATGGTCACCAAGAGGAGCCCATTCTGGAAGTGCTCCCTGAGACCAGAACTCTTCGGAAGTTCCTTGGGGCAAATGACTTAAGTAAACTTGAAAGGAGACAGAAGCTAGTCTATGTTATGCTACCGTGGGAAATTAGAGAACTATAAAGAAGTTAGCATAGTACAGCCTTATGTTTGTTTCAAGGGTATGTTTTTAACCAAGACATGTATAGACTCCAAGAAACCCCTTCATTCCGCATTACAGTGTACTTGTAAATTTATGTCGCCTTCCAACATAACACTAAGCACTCACATTGTATATTATGAGGTGGGCATAGAAATGAGAGAGACAGGATGCATCTGCTCGTCACTTGCCACCTTTTCTCTTTGTGTGTTTATCTCCTGTCATTAGGCATCATGATCTTAGGCACTACGTTATTCTCTACCTCAAAACATTGCAAGATATGTGTTTTATAAACTACCTTGGTACTTGTGTCTTTTCTTATGTCCTGATTAGCATCTGAAGTATTAGATCCTACATCTCAACTCAGAGGATGGTGAAAAGCCTTCTCAGACGATAAATAGTAAGGTGGCCCTGTTTACTAGATAGCATAAGGAAAGCATTTTAAATGCTTAATGTCAGATAACTGAGGGATGACCTGATGCTGGAACAGCTGTGCCTCCAGATCCCTTGTGTTGACTTAGAGAGTCCATTCTGGCTGAAGACACTGTAACACACAAGAATATTGGAAAATGTCAACATCTTTCTTGGAAGTGACACCTCAGATTACCCACCAGCAACTTCCACCACTTCACCAGGAAACAACAATTTTCATGCAAAAATGGCTGTTCTGCCTCTTAAATGATCATTTAGAATTTGAAATCGAATATAAGACAGCACTATTAAAAGGTGACAGTGACCAATGTAGATTAGAACTCCTAAGAAGATCTGGAGGCAGAAGCTGTGTGGTTGATATAATTACATATCCTGTGTGATATAACTGCACAGAAAAGCCCATGGTTTCAATTCTTGGGTCCGGCACTGAATAGCTGGGCTCTAATAATCCATCCCCCCTTGTCTCTGGTATGTATGAATTTATCCTTATTATGATCTATCTGTGCAGACTCATAGAATTGTATCTGGGTCTCCTGCAGCCTACTTTGATTTGTTTCTATAACAACCCCCTGTGGCCAGCCTGTTTGTCCCTAACATCTCTTTAAGGCACTAAACCCAATTTTAGATTTTTTCGATAAAATTCTTTTTCCTTGAGAAGACTCTGGGGATTTGTTGATGGATCTTTATAGATGATACTGAAGCCAGGGATAGAGCTAAGGAAAAGGATGGCAGGCAACACTTGGCTTGGTTATTGGCCTCCTTTGGCCGTTGGAACTGTGTAAGTGCTGGAACAGGGTTG